TGGATATCACAATTAGCTCGTTTAAATTTTTTAATGCAATCATGTTTCTGTCTATTCAATCACTTTTTTGAATGGACTCCTGACTCTGCCAAAATTTCTTCAGCTACCGGTAGGGACTGGAAAGTGTGAAGCCGTTTACTTTAAAGGTGTTGAAACTAAGGCTTTGGTCACAAAAGGGTTTTAGTCAACACTTTTGGGAAGAAAGTGGCTGTGAACACCCATAGCAACCGGAAGGCAAGGCTCCCCAGAGGCAGAGCGGAGCGGTTGTCACCCCCTGGAGCGCTCATTATGTCCAAGACGCAATTTTATCCTGCCATCCCCCGAGAGGACGGTGTTTACATGCTGGGATGTATGTAGCCTCTCAGCCTCTACTGATTGGGTCTGTGCTCAGTCCCAAGCCTGCAATAGACTCACACGCGCTCACCTGCGCCCCCTTGTGGGAAGTCCCGAAGTCTGTTCAGAAGGTGAGGTTGCAGGAAAGGGAGTCCACCTAGGTCCTAAGCTAAGTACCTGAGACTAGGAGCCTAAGGATGTTACCTTCTATTCTCATTTCTGTGTTATTGGAAACAAGCATATGTTACCCATATTCCTGTGAAGTTGAAGAGGCATTATTATTTTCATAAATTCAAAAGCCATTTAAAATAGTTTTAAGGTACCGCCGGAGTGGCTCAGTTGGCTGAGCATCAACCCATGCACCGAAAGATTGCAGGTTTGATTCCTGGTCGGGGAACATGCCCGAGTTGGGGGCTCGATCCCCTGTAGGGGGCATGCAGGAAGCAGTTGATGGATGTTTCTCTCTCCCTTCCTCTCTTGCAAGAAAAAAAAAATCTATAAAGAAACATATTTTAAAAAAGTAATATTGACTGAAAACTCTATAGGTGATTCTGAGGGGCATCCTAGGTTAAAGATTGAGATATTCTTATCTTATAAATTGTGACAGTGGTATGAAGCTGAAGAAAGTGAATGTGTTGCCCTGTGGGCCAATAATAACAAAAGCTAACATTTGTGAGCACTTCCTGTAAATGCATTTAATTCTCACAACATCCCTGTGAGGTAGGTATTGTGGGAGCCAGCCTCCAAGATGGTCATCGACTATTTTCGCCCCATGGTGTTCCAGCCCCTATGCATTGTCCTCACAAACTAGGTAGGGCTGATCTGTGAGACCAATGGGGATATTGTAGAAATTACAGTATGTGCCAAGACCGGTTGGGCTCAATGGATAGAGCGTCAGCTTGGGGACTGAAGGGTCCTGGGTTTGATTCCGGTCAAGGGCATGTACTTTGGTTGCAGGCATATCCCCAGTAGGGGGTGTGCAAGAGGCAGGTGATCGATGACTCTCTCATCGATGTTTCTAACTCTCTATCTCTCTCCCTTCCTCTCTGTACAAAATCATTAAAATATATTTAAAAAAAAAGAAATTACAGTATGTGATCTCCATGGTTAGGTCATAAAAGACACTGCTACTACTACCTTTTACTCTCTCTCTTGAAGCATCTGCTCTGGGAGAAACCAGGCGCCATGTTGGGAGGACACTCAAGAAGCCCTGTGGAAAGACCCACATGGGCAGGAACGAAGGCCAGAATCCAATCCAGGATCATGAATTGCATTTAGTTTCATGCCTCTTTATTCTCCCCTTTTTTTTGTTAATCCTCACCCGAGGATATTTTCCCACTGAGATTTAGGGAGAGTGGAAGAGAGAGAAAAAGATAGAGAAACATTGATGTGAGAGAAACACATCGATAGGTTGCCTCCTGCACGAGCCCTGACCAGGGCCTGGTCTGGGGAGGAGCCTGTAGCCCAGGAATCAAACTCAGGACCCTTTGGTCTACAGGCCGACACTCTATCCACTGAGCCAAACTGGCTAAGACTCTTTATTTTCCTTTAATCATTTAATCTTTAATTTGTTCCTGTTTTGGTTTTGTCATTCGAATCATTGGCATTTTTGAACCATCCAGGCCAGCTGCCTTGAAGGAAGTCCCACAATCAGGATTTGCCTTTTTCCTCTTGAATCCATTCAGTGAGTTTGTGTCACATTAAAAGTTTATCTCAGTGGTGTTGCCCACAAGTTTCTCTAATGTACAGATACTGTTTACCTCATGATGATGATCACAAGTCACTGTGATATTTAATTTTTTTTTATTGCAAAGATTCAGTAGACCCAAATGTTGACCCTGAGAAAGGATCCTAAAGAAGAATCATAAATGTTAACAAAAAGAAACATCTTTTACAGATATAACTGGAATGTTAACAAGTCAGAATGTTCCAAACTTGGTGCTTTAAACTTCACAAATTCACCACCCCAGCAAGGAAAACAAATTTAATGTCACCCACAGAGGGATCATCTGACAACTTGTGCCTCCTGATGATGGAATATGAAGTACATAAAACAATCAAATTTCTGCCATAAACCTCAGGAACTAATTTAAGGTCATCATTTTTTTTTTTTTTTAACATGGCCAATACCAGGTACAGTTACATAAAAAGAAGAAAAAACATTACCATTTACTAACACAAACATTTAATGAAAAAATGTAGTGTATTTAACAAACATTTTTTTTATACCACTTACTATGGGCGAGGCACTGTTCTAAGTGCTTTACAAAGATAACCTAATTATGTCATCTTCCAACAACTTTAAGAGCTGGGCTGGGGTTCGGGGCGGGGGCTGGAAGGGAGGGCCAGAGACACTAGCGCAGGTACCAACACTACCTTTGCAAAACCCTGAGTATCTCCTTAAGTGTTGCCCAGACTCCCTGCCTGCCTGACTCTAGTCCTGGGCCTGTGCTGGTGGTGGGTAGTGTTATTAGAATCATTTGGTAGATGAGAAAACGGGAGTCCAGAGAAGGTTAGCAACTCGCCCCAGATTGCACAGCTAGTGAGCAGCAGAGCAGCTGTGAAACCCAGGCTGTGTAGCTCCAGAATCCATGCTCTTAAACTCTTCCCCCAGTAGGACATTTCAATGTGCAAAAGGAGGATTACAGACCAGAACACAACAGTCTTTCCCAAAGAGAGGGCTCTGCAACTTGACACATTCAGACACACAGATAAATGTGCTTGCAGGGGATTGCAATAATCATTTAATGTTGCCATGTTCTGTGTGCCACCGCTTGGTGGTAAGTGTAAAATAGAGCTGATGGAGAGTTTCCCTGGCTGGTCGCAGATGGGGCCTTGGTTTTAGGCTGTGAGCAGCCCTCTGGGAATCCTATCTCGGTTTTTGTTAGGATTCGGCCTTGGAGAGAAGGGGATTAAAACTAGCTTGTTCCTGAAGAGGGCGCATGCCCTGTGTTTGGTGAGAAGAAGGTGTGGGTTAGGGCTGTGGTAGATGCAGGGACTGGGAAGCAGGAAGGAAGTGCCAGATGGGCCCCCTGTGAGGGGGCCTGGCCATAAGCACTGAAGTCTTACAGGGACAGCTGAGCTCTCTCCAGCAGCGAGAGAACCTGTCTGTGGAAGGGCCCTTTGCTGGCAGCCAAGAGCCTGGTCAACGAAAAGTGGACCGGCCTCTCCTGACCTCAGAGGTGCCTCACCTTTTCTGAATTCCTCTGCAGTTTGCCTTAAGATTGCCTCTCCTGACCCCAAATAAAGAGATGTTGCATTTAAACATATATTATTATTATTATTATCCCCCTAATAATAAAAGAGAGCCCTCACCAAGCTTATTTATACTCTTAGTGTAGCAAATAATACAGACAAAAGTTGTACCCAAAAAGTGCTAGAAATGAGAATGCTCTGAGGGGCGCTGTGGCAAGATGTGGCTCCCCTTGGCACTTGCCATCTTCTGAATATGTCTGGCATTTGGCCTTCTTCTTCCTCTTCTAGTTCCTTCACACAAGAGGTTTTTGTGGCATTTTCCCAAAGAATGAGCCCGTTTCTACGGGTGAGAAAGACCTCCGTAGGTAAAGGGCCATTCTCATGACTTCACGTCAGCGTGCCTCCCATCCACATGACTCAGGACCGCTGATGCCGGGCCGGTGTCTTCCTGGCACAGTTACTCGTGTGCCCCACCCTCCCCTTCCCACACTGTCCTCTTCGAAGGAAGTCTCCTTCGGAAGGAAGCTCACACTTACAGGGTGGGGAGTTGTGCTCCGCCTTCTTGAACTCTCCATGTACCCATACAGATTATTTGGAATTCTTCAGCAGAGGGCACTTCCCCGTTGCTTATCTATGATAACTTGGCAATTCCTTGTAATTCTATGTTTTAAACAGCCCGTGAGTAGAGGCATACAGGCAGAAATGAAACGTGGATGCGGTGTAAAATTTAACAGACACACACGGCATGGAGGGAAAACACTCTCGGACACCTTTCTCACCCAGCCGTCCAGCTCCCCGCTCCAGAGGCATCTAATGCCCTTACAAACATGTCCAAATAGACTCTCTTAAAAAAAAAAAATATATATATATATATATTATTGATTTTTTACAGAGAGGAAGGGAGAGGGATAGAGACCTAGAAACATTAACCAGCTGCCTCCTGCACACCCCCCACTGGGGATGTGCCCGCAACCAAGGTACATGCCCTTGACTGGAATCGAACCTGGGACCTTTCAGTCCGCAGGCCGACGCTCTATCCACTGCACCCAACCGGTTTCGGCTCAAATAGACCCTTAACCCCCCACCCCCTTTTGCACCCAAATGGTAACTTATAGGAACACTAGTTTTACAGTTTGGTTATTTTTATTATCCTTGCAACATGTGGAGTGAGACCTCCGGGAGGTCGCCCCTCATCGGGCCGCTGGATGGAGCGGTCTCGGATGGATCCCCAGCCCAGGCCCCCGTCCCTGAGCGGGGCTCCCATCACACGGCCCCCGCGGACACAGCCCGGCGCCCCCGCCCCGAGTGGTCCCGCGCGGCGGGCGTGGGAGCGGGCTCCGCGCCCCGCCCCGGCCTCTGTGACGTCCCGGAACCTGGAATCCCGCTGCGGAGGGAGGCCCGCCGGCTCCGGAGGGAGGGCTCGGAGGCGCGGCGGGGCGGCGGGAGCGGGGCGCGCGGAGCCGGGCGCAGCCATGAGCCAGGCCAGTGCCAGCGCGCTCCCGCCCGGCAGGCCCCGGAGGCAGCCCTTCGCCCACCCAGGTAGGAGCTCCCCGCGGCGGGGCGGGCTCCCGGCGAGGTGCCCAGCCTCCTCCTTCCTTCCCTCCCTCCCAGTCTTTTGTGGGGTCGGAGCGGGGAGAAGGGGAGGACAGCGGTCTTCTTACTCCCCTTCTCCTTCCTCTAACCCATCCTCACCCGGTTAAGAGGGCGCACGCCTCACCAGAGGAGCGCGACATTGGGAGTCCAGAGCGAGGGGGCTTTGTCTTCCAGTTGCTGGCGGGGGGATCCTGGGCTAAGTCTCCAAATAGCCCTATCGGTTAAATGAAAAGATTGTATTAACTGAAAAGATTGTGTTAAATGAAAAGATTTTGAGATTCCCCACCAGTTCTAACATTCTGGTAGGAGGCGCCCGCCCCAAACGTTTCAGGATTTACAATGTGATGAACTTGGAACCGAATTCTGCCTCAGCTTGTTTATGGCTGTGTGATCTTTGGTAAGTGGCTCGCCTTCTCTGAGCCTTAGATTTTTATTTAAGCAGTAAAGTGGGAATAGGATGTTGGTGGGACTAGGATGTTGGTGGGATTAGAGCTGAGAGAAAAGCGTGTGAAGTGCCTGGTGCAGGGAAAGCACAATAAACGGTAACCAAGCAAGCATTTTATAATGCGGTGGTTGTTTTCCCCCCCCTTGGGTGAAAGTTGTGTTTTGTTCTGTGAACTTTTACAAAATGACGGACAACCACTAGTCAAGATAGAAAAGTTGCCAGCACCCAGTCAGGCGTCCTGGTAGCATTTGTATCTTATATTTTCCCTTAACAAGACACAAGCCTGTTCTCTGAGTTTTATCTGCAGAGCTTTATCTAATTCAGTTTGGGAAGAGTATGTTTGTTGCAAGGATTTACAGTAAAATGTGAGTGTAGATCTGGGCATTAGACCCTTAGGACTGGATTGTCTCAATGTGTAGAAGGGAAAGAAAAGACACCCAGAAGGGACCCAAACCCGGGGAACTTGCTCAGGAATCAGAACCCAGACTGGGCTTGATGGTAATTCTTTTTTAGCTCCTTATTCATCCTGTGGCATCAGCTTTAACCTCTCAATAATGGCCACTCAAGGATTATTTTAGTCAGTTTCTATTTATCTTCCTCTTATTTTAGCACAACCAATCACATCTAAGATGCCATGGTTTCCTATACAGAAAAGGCATGAGATTCATCTTTTTTGGATCTTTCCTGGGTGTTTAAGGGGATGCTAAGCATTTTTTTGTGAGTATGACTGGCCCTTCTAAAGTCTCCCCATCCCTTGGACAGATGGTATTTTTGACCTTTTACCCACTAGTGTGGGTGGAAGGCTCAGAAGGGACATGTTTATAACTTTGTAACACTTTGTAAACAGTTGTCCGTTATTTGGGCATCATGGGAGGACAGTTGGAGGTGGGCAGGAAACAGAGGGAAAATGGAGTTTGTGCCTCCTTCCATCAGGGGTGGGGAGTGTCTGGCCCCGGGGCGTAAATCATTTGGTCTGGCCCTGCCAAGGCATTAGGGGTGAGTTAATTAAATGTTGGGACAAATATAGCAGGCTAATTTTTATGTTGCTAATTTTGTATGGCCCATGAATGATGTTATAAATATCCAAATGGTCCTTGGCAGAAAAAAAGGTTCCCCACCCCTGTATCTAAGTGATAAAACAGATCACACCACTCCCCTTGGTAATTAAAATTTCAGGTGGCTTCCCACAGCTCTGACTATAAAATCCAGGTTTTTCTCTGGTGGCCAACAAGGCCTGGTGATTTGACCCCAGCCTCCTCCCCAGGCCTTCATCACCCTTATCTCGCTCTGCTACACTGGCTGCCTTCCAGTTCCTCTAACATACCAAGGTGGTTTCTGCCTCAGGGCCTTTGCATCTGCTGTTCCCTTTGCCTCAACTACATTTCCCTTTGCTCTTCTTCTCTCTCCTCCTGTCAGGTCTGCTCAAATATCATTCCAGAGAGCCAGACCGCTAGAGTCATCTTGTCTGAAGAAGTCACAGAGTAGATGCTAAATTGTGACAAATAAATGAAAGAAGGGAGGGAAGGAGGGAAGGAGAGAGGAAGGGAGGAGACTGTAGTGATTGTAAGTCTAGACTCCGATACCCAGATACAAACCCTCATTTTCCCATTTACTGGATTTGTCTCTGGACAAGGCACTTAACTGCTTGGTGCCTTAGTTTCCTTATGTATTAAGTGGAGATAAGAATAGTACCTACTTCAAGGTGTCATTAGAATTAAGAGAGTTGATTTATATAAAGAACTTAATGTTTGTATTAGTTATCTGTGCTGTGTTACATATCGCCCCAAAACTTAGTGGCTTAGAACAGTGATACTCATTATCTTACAATTTCTGATGGTTAGGACTTGAGGAATGCCTTGTCTAGGTGGTTCTGGCTCATGGTCGCTCATAGGGTTTCAGTCATGGTGTCATCTGAAGGCTTGCCTGTGGCTGGAAGATCCCTCCCGAGATTACTTGCTCACACAGATGGCGAACTCACACTGGCTGTTGGCAGGAGGCCTCAGTCCTTTCCACAGGGCCTCCCACAGGGCTGCTGAGTGTCCTCATGACCTGGCAGCTGGCTAGCTTCCCCAGAGCAGACAGTCTAAGGGAGAGCAAAGCGAAAGCTGTCATGCCTTTATGATCTGGTGTCAGAAATCACAGTGGTATTTCTGCAATATTTTTTTTAAAAAAAGTATTTTAACTGATTTCAGAAAGGAAGAGAGAGGGAGAGAGGGAAAGAATCATTGATCGGCTGCCCTCTACATGCCTCACACTGGGGACTGGGCCCACAATCCAGGCATGTGCCCTGACTGGGAATTGAACCGTGACCTCCTGTTTCATAGGTCAGTGCTCAACCACTGAGCCACACTGGCCTGGCTCTGCAATATTTTACTGGCCCCGTGCAGTGTGGAAGGGGCCTATATAAAGTTATGAGGGTCAGGATATTGGGGGAGAAGATGCATCCTTGGGGTCCATCCTGGAGACTGGCTGCTATGGGAGTGTTAACTGTTGTTAATATCTCTGCCTCCTCTACTAGATGATAAACTCCAGGAGGGCAGGGGCTGGGCCTGTTTGGCTCACCATTGCATTCTCATGCTTAGCACAGTATTTGGTGCACAGTGGGCCTTTGGTAAGTATTAGTTGAGGGATGCCCTTTGTGATTTGGGCCCTGTCTTAGCTCCCATAGCCTTCCCACACTTGCTGTGTGTGCTTATAGCTTCTTGAGCTGAGAAGCTCCTTCTGTTCCCTCACCCCCGGGGGCCATTACCATGCTTCTTTATAAGGCACACTGCTCTTCTTCCAGTCTGCTATCACTTCCCTCTGGAAGTCTTCCCTGATTACCTCTCCTCCCACAGCTGGACTCTGTGTCCCTTCTCTGTAATCTACACTGACTCTGGCCTTGCCTTTTCAGAGTATCCACTGAACTGTATTCTCGATTATCTTGAGTTATTTTGTTCTTAAGGTAGGGTTGGGATTAAGACACTGACTTAGCCTTTTATAAGCCCAGTCTGTGGCCAAGTGGAATCGTGGCCAGTGACGCAAAGTTTTCTGTGGCCAACCTTGCAGCTTTGGTTGTCTTGGTGACTACCCCCTGATGCCTATATTATATGGAATTCCAAATCATGAAAAACAGTCAAGATTCTATATATTGTCCAGAATAGGTAACTCCATAGGGACAGAAAGCAGACATTTCATATAAATGTAATCATAGAATACGTGACCTTTTATGGTGATTGTTTTTTTCACTTAAAATAAGTTTGTTTTTTTTTAATTGATCTTAGAGGGAGAAGGAGAGGGGAAAGAAAGAAGCATCTATGTGAGAGAGAAACATTGATCGGTTGTCACTTGGATGCACCCCCACCAGAGACCGAACCCACAACCTTTTGGTGTATGGCACACCACTTTCACCCACTGAACAATACTGTCCCGGGCAATAGGATGTTTTTGAGCTTCATCCCTGTGGTAGCGTGTATCAGTATTGGATTCCACTTCCGGCCGAATACCATTCCATTGTGTGGCTATAGCACAGTTTATCCTGCACCCATTGATGCGCATTTGGATTGTTTCCACCTTTTGGCTGTTGAGGAAAATGCCGCTGTGAACATTTATGTACGAATTTCTGCTTTAACACCTGTTTCCAGTTGTTTGGAGCATACACCTAGGAGTAGAATTGCTGGATAATATGGTAATTCTGTTTTTAACTTTTAAAAAATATTTTAAATTGATTTTTAGAGAGAGAGGAAGGGACAGGGATAGAGAGATAGAAACATCGATGAGAAAGAAGCATCATTGATTGACTGCCTCCTGAATGCCCCCTATTAGGGATCAAGCCCAAAACGCAGGCATGTGCCCTGACCGGGAATTGAACCAGTGACCTCTTGGTTTATGGGTTGACACTCACCCACTGCACCACAAAGGCCTGACTCTGTAACTTTTGTGAGGAAGGGCCAAGCTCAGAGACTCCTGACACTTCTGTGGGGAGTGACTATGGCCATTATCTCAGTGTTTAGTGGGGAACCAAAGTGACTCACCCAAGATGATCAGATCCCCACGACGGGGTGGCTGGACGGAAATAAAACCTGTGTAATGGCTCCGGGCCCCGGACCACTCCTCTCTCCTCCTCAAGGGCACTGCTCTCAGGAGGGCCCTGGAGGGCCCTGCTGGGACTGTTTGGATGGACCCCACCTGTCTGGGCCTCTGAAGCAGGGAACCCTTAGAGAGTGGAGGGGTAAAACTGAATAGGCCCGTTAGACTCCTCCTGTGAGGGGAGGTGGAACTTGTTTGTTTTTTAAAGATAAATGAAGAGAACCTCTGGTGGTAGTTTTTATGGAACCGCCTGGCTTAGACGTGAACCCTAACTTGGCCAGTTACCAGCCGTGTGACCTCGAGCAAGCCCTGCTGCCTCCCTGAGCCTCAGTTTTCTCATCTGTGAAGCAGAGATCATCCCCCTCTGCGAGGGTCACCGGGAGGCTATAACGGGGACAAACAGGCATGTCAGGAACCCTGCACCACACCGGTT